ACCAGGCTTTGTAGACAGTCACAGAACGTCAGAGATCACCGTCCCTGTAATTCTGAAAGGGACCTCTCCACACTGGTCTCTCTCTCTCTCTGGCCTTCCTGTCTTTTTAACCGTTCTCACCTAGAGGTACAGTAGTTATACCCTTTCTCCAAGTGGCCTTCCTTGGGCCCCTCTAACTACTTCTGATACAGTCACGTACTCAGGTTAATCAATCATTTGGCTTGGTGCCAGCCTGACTGAGTCTCCACGAGGTCTTCCCTTTCTCCTGTCTAAGATAGGAGATTGTTCAGTTTAGGGCTGTATCTGGTGCTTGTTATTTTGATATGTGGGATCATTACTGTCTTCCTTTTAAGTGAATGGTTATTTCTTATCAGTATCCCGGGATGGTACCAAAGGCCTCCAGTTTGAACAACTTGCTCGTTAGTTCGTTATTCTTGAGGGTTGCCTTCTCTCGCTTGGTAGGCCCTGTCAGAATCTAGAGACTTATTGCTAAGCTGAGATACTGTGTCGACCTGTACCTTGGACTGTTACCTCTGTAGGTTTTGTTGTTATTTACTGATAAGTGGTGACCTCCTGCTCTTTCCCAAGGCTGTCTTCAGAAACAGAGAAAAACAGATGTGTCCTACCCCATGACTGTCACTATTTTCTCCATTCTACACTTGTTTAATATTTCATTATTACTAGACTATAACTTCTATATTCTAACATTATATTTGAATAAACTGAGTTAGCCACAAAACTTTATTGTCTGGTCTTTTGACTCGAACACTGGGAGTTGGGATACCAAAAATCTCCCTTCAGTATTTTCAACGTATTATATTGGGCTTTCCTTTAAATTTTCAATTGCATTCATTATGTTGTTACTGTGCAACTATATTCAAATGTACATAGAGACAGTGAGCATATTGTCTCCAGATAAAACAGAGAAACTACTTCTATGGCACTGAAGATTGAGAATTCACACCTACTGGAACAAACCTTTCATGGTTTCATTGTTTTAAAATTACCTTATGATTGGTATACATCTTCACTTCTAAGCCACAGTCTCTTCATTCTGGGATTTGCGTCCATTGTTGCTGGTTTTCCCCAATATCATGCCCAAAGTGGACCTTATTCTTTTGTAAGCACTGGCAATGAGTATCGACATCCTACTGGACTGCATAGGACATCACAAGGTATCTCCTCATCTGGCTGCCATTACCAATTTTTTTTGGTCAGTTAGCCATCATACACATGCAGAATCTCAATTGCATGCTTAGGATATCAAAACTAGACTTGGAGCTCCACCTACACATGGAAATCTCTGCCTGCAATAGAATGCACACTCTCCTCGGCGAGAGGCGTTCTGTTTACTCAGTTCCTGAGAATATTAGGTGCTTTAAGTGCTAGTATGCAAGACTTGTGGACCCCAGAGTGTGCATTTTGCGTTCACCACCTGGGATAGTGAGGGGATAATAAGTCAGGGTGCCTTCTCTTCATCATTACCCACTGACTCTTGCCAAAAAAACTGCATTTGTGTGGTCATCAGAGGCGAAAAATCCCATCAGGTCTCTAAGACCATTTTTATTGTCTCAGAGTGGGATTTGGAAGGTCAGTCTGGTGACAGGGATCCTTCCTATTCGACGACCATTTATTCCTACAAGAGAAAATCCCTAAGTGATAGGATGTTCCTCACTAAACAAACAATATGTAGCTTCCAAACAGCGTTTTCAATGGTACAGAACACAGTGTTAGTTGGTTAAAGTCCTTCATTGCCTCAAATGCATAACCCATGGCTCAGCTCTCATCAACGAGGAACACCATCTTATCTGAATTTAGTCAGTTAAGTCCTGTAGCTCAGTGGAGTCCTGTAGCTCAGTGGTTAAGCACTCGCTTTGCAAGCGAGAGACCTGAGTTCAGTTCCAGGCAGAGGGTGAGACCTTGGGCAAGTTTCCTTACTCCACACAGAGCCTAATAATAATCTCTCCAAAACCAAAAACAATAATAAATTGGTCATTTTCAATCTACGACTGTTTGTGGGACATTGCTGTGCGCAATTGGCTGCGCGTTCGCCCACAAATATACAGTCAATTCACTTTACAGTATATTCTGTGAAGCGCTTTGGGACGTCTTCCCGATGTGAAAAGCGCTATAACAAATGCAAGGATTATTAATATTATTATTAGTAGGCAGCTTATTTATTATTATTATTCTGTTGGTTTACTGCGTAAAACTGACTTACAAATGACGGCTAATTTTAAGAACTTTTCACAATTTTGCTTGATGTACATTAAAAATGTGTTTTCACTCTAATAATAGGTGGGATTTTAGGTCTTGGTCAGTACAGTATCCTGGACAATGCATGTTTATTTCTCTCCCGCACTCCCCCCGATGTTTTGCTGCATTTGTCTGTCAACTTGTATTGGGTTAAACTCGTCATAACTTCAAGGATCACATGTGCTTACAAACTGCCCTCAGACACAAACACAACTTCCTGAACCCTCAAAGACAGGAAGTCAAATGACACAGAAACGTTTTTTGCGGCAAAACATTTGTGCAGCCTTGTTGCAGATCAGCTTGTTACAGACCATCACGGTCAAAACTGCTCAGAATCATGAGAGGGGATGTTATGTTACTGTACCAATCTGTCTTTGTTTTTCTAATACTTATTAGTAATTTTTCGGTCAAAGTAACATTAATCCCAGAATGTGTGATTGCCATCAGAGAGACAAATATCACCTTCCTCTGCATCATTCTTTTTCTTCATCAAACATATTATTTGAGGACAGTTTATTTATACTCTTTGTATTCGGAAAACACCAAGAAGATAACCCCTTCTTCTTTTCTCCAATTGAACAATCCCAGTTTCTCACGCGCTCAAGTTTGATCAGCCTTAAATGCCAAGTAAGTGACCTGTTGCTCAACCCAGGGCTCCATGACTATGACCATTTCCGCTACTAATAGCAACATCAAGGTTGTGCACAATTCATGAAACATAGCCTGTTGAATATTTTGTGTGGAACTTCTAGGATTTAAAGTCTAATCCTCCAAAACATACATATATTTTGCTTTGCTGACCACCACCGAACACTATCCATGAGCATTATCCACAGATAGACTGAGGATGCTGTGCAATCAAAATTCCCATCAGATGATGTCTGGTGACATGTACAGTGAATCAAACTAGCAACTAGCTCATATCGACCAGTTTGACGCATTGTTTCTTCAGTACTAATGAAACAACACTTGGTACAGGCTAACTTAAAAGCAGGCCAACAAAGTGTGGTGCAATTCGTCCAACACAGTGCAAAAGTTGAAGCGTGGACGTCGAACTTTTCACGTAATGGCTAAAAATACACCTAACATGAAACAACTCAGTATAAAAACACCAATCGTTCTGCTGTATTTGTAAATGTCAAAGGATAATTCCATTACAAGAGTCTCGCTCACTCACATTATATATAGTGCATGGCTTATTAACATTTGCCATCAATTAGGCTGTGCATCTTGCAGTAAAGTGGTTGTACCTACACAATATATCATTATTTATGTAAAACAGATATGCATTCTTACTACATGAAGTGGTGTGTGTTTTGTGGGTGAATGTGTCTGTCTGGCAAATTGACCATAGGCACAGGCGAAGAGGAAAATCTTCAAATGTGATTTGAAGACACTTAAAAAGAAAGTGTGGTACAGGGATTGAGGCAGAAATAGCTTGAAGGGGCAGTAGAGGTATCAGGAATCCACAGAAATCCTGAGCGAGTCAAACAAAGGTACAACAGTGAACGAGGGAAACAAAAGGATAGATTATAGCTTTTCATATTATAAATATGATGTAGTCTGCATCGCCACCTGGCAAATCACCATTATGTCCCTACAATATATAATTTGCATAGATTTGTGTAAGAAAATGTCCTGCATTTATCAGATTATTTGTTACCTATGAACAACAACAATTCACATTTGTACAGCATCAATTCAATTCACTTAACAGTATATTCTGTGAAGCGTTTTGAGACGTTTTGAAGACGTAATAAGGCACAAGGATTAATATTACATCATGGCATCCTTCGCATAGCCTATAATCTTGGTGGGCTTCAAAGCATTTCGGTGGGACACTAAGTAAGGGAAAGGCAGCGGGGAGAGAGCTGGAGATAGATATGTTTCAAGAGGTAGGAATTGAGTCAGGACAAAGACGGATTGGGAAAGAGTGAGACAAATTGCGAGGTGGAGGGATTTGCAAAAGATAGGGTATAGGAATCTAATAATAATTACAGTACAATCCTTGATTGATATATCACCTTATTATGTTGTTGAGATGTTTCAAAAGAGTTTTGCAGGATATATTGTGAACTCGTATGATTGTGTTTATTTTGTGGACAAAGAACTGAAGGTTTAGCCACTGATGGTGATGCAGAGAGGGTGCAGCAAGCCATTGGAGACAGAAGATGTTGGCAGAAGACAAGGAGGATGGTTTCTAGACCGCGTGTAGAAAATGGTGGAAGCAAAGTTGAGTGGCCAGAACTTTGGCTACCAAGGGCAAGTTGGAGATGGGCCAATAATTGGAGAGTTTAGAGGGACTGGGGTACACCTTTTGATGGAGTGATTTTGAAGCAGAGCACTATGCCAGAAGAGAAGGAAAGGTTAATTTCTATAAAAGGGGACAGCTGGATAAAAGTACGAGAAGACATTTTTCGTCAGATTGGAATGTTTCTGACACAACTGGTTCCACGAGTTGATGCCCAAACCAACATTTACGATTGGACAAAGCACCATAATCTGTTAATGATGCTAAACAGAGCATTTTTTTAAAGTTTTGATACACTTAGCTTTTTTCTGCTCTTAACAGGATGGGTTATTATTTTCATAATTTTAATGCCAAACTGTGATTTCAAATTGCGTTCTCCACACCTGTTACATTTCGCGAACCCAAAGAAACAGGAAGTCAGTGTCACAGCGACCTACTCTGCATCAAATAATCCACGTTCACTTGTGACAGACCATCAGAGCCAGAGTCAGACATGGGGAGTGTTGTCTTCCTGTACCTGTCTGCCTTACACATTATTTCAACAGGTATATATGTTCATTCTATAGTTCGGTTATTCTATGAAATACTTGCAAACTTGTTTCCATGTGACATTTATCTTACATACTTACGTTTATTCCTCTTTTACTCATTTGTTTTCTCAATGGCTCACCACCTGAGAAGTCAGTGTTTGACTTTATTTTCTGACAGTTGATGGCGATTCTTCCGTGAAAGTGACTCAAATCCCCGACCATGTGGCTGCCATCAGAGGAACAAATGTTACCTTCCGCTGTATCTTCCCCTTCTCTCAAGACGGTTCAGAAGTGGAGGTGCAGTGGAATAAGAAGGGTGAGAGTGGCTATTTGGATACAAAGGAGGATAACAGGAAACTATTTGGTGTAAAAACTAAAGGAAGCAGCTTCTTCCAGTTCTTGAATGTGATTTCACAGGACTCTGGAGTCTATCGCTGTGTAGTGGTCCGTCAGGGATCAATAATCGGAACAGGATCTGGATCGCGATTAACTGTGTGCGGTGAGTGTGAATGAAGAGCGAAATTGGCATTTAGAAATTACATGAAAAGTAATAAATGCGGTGAATGCTATATCGTTATTTATATTGTTTGTACATTATAACTTTCACAATCTAGTTTTTAAAGTGCTTTGAGACATCTCGAAGATGTGATAAGGTGCTATTTTCAAATGCAATGATTATTTTATCACCACCGTTCGGCAGCGGTCAGCAGAAGCGAAATTCTATCTCAGAGCCGAAAGTACAACCAACTGAGCCACACTAACACAGTGTGCACACCTCTGCCAGGAATCCTCTATTGTTCGCGGGTTCAACCTATTGAACAGACATTTTTAAGTGATCATTTGCACCTGCCAATCATCAAAGTTAGTAATAATATGCAAGATAAAGATTATGAATAAATATTACTTGACAAAGCCACAATGTAGTTAAAGCAGGAGCAAGGCGATGCTGCTGTGAGAGGGATATTTGTGTATCTAAACAAACCTCCAATTGTACTCAGGAATCAGGAGTTTGCAAAGAAATGTATTGGATACAAATTAAAATAAAGTTTCTCCTGCTGATTGATCAAAATGAATACGATTCTCCTCCATTATCTTTTCTGCAGTTCCCCCAACTCCACTGAAGATTTTCTCTAGGAATTCACCTAAGCCTCAGACTCTTGTGTGTGAAACTGCTTTGTTTCACCCAAAGGAAATCACCTTCACTTGGTATAAAGATGGCACCGAAATTGTGCCAACACCAGAAATAAAGCTGGAAGAGTCAGGTTCCACTGAGAAGCAGAACTCAGAGGATCTCTATAAGGCCTCGAGCTCTATTGAAGTCACACAGTCTGGCCAGAATGGGTCTGTTTATACCTGTCTGGTGTCTCACGTCAGCCTCAAGACTTCAGCTATTGCCACCTTCGCTTTCCCAAAATCTAAAGGTAAGATGCTAAAAGATTTTTAAAAAGTCAACTGTTATTAATTGAATTTTCAGAGGGATGCTTTGTTGCATTGATTCATCAAGTAAATCATCTGAAGCGATTTGAGACAACAATAACGAGATAATAATAATATTAATCCTTGCATTCGATATATAAGTCGAAGTATAAAATGCATGGATTATTATTATTATTCAGCTGAAGAAAGTCAGAGCTGATCAATCACTTGATGTCTGACAGCAATCGGGTCGAAGTTGGAGGTCGAGTGTGGAGGAAGATGGGAGAGTTGGGTTTCATCATTGTACATGTGAATATGCAATACATGTCTACAGTGATGTCGCCAAGTGGGAGCATATAGATAGTGAAGAGCAGAGGACCGAGGATAGAGCCATGAGGAACATCCAATGTTCAGGAGCAAGAAACTGTGACTTGAGCGATGGAGTGTGACTGTTGTCCTGGGGAACCTGAGGGGATAGGAAGCGATGGCTGATATGATGAGAGACCAATGTGTTAAGAATGGTGATGAGGGAGTTGTGGATGATGGTCATAAAATATATTGTATCTTTTGGTGTGAAGGTTTTGCTAAACCTAACGCATATTATATACGTATAATAACTTAACATAATATAGCATCATAAAGCGGTCTAATTTTCAAACCCTTTTTAACACAAGGCGTTTGATCACAAAATGCAATTCTATTCCACAATGTTCCCTCGTTTTATTAATAACAAGTGAGCACGTTTCATTGCTTGTGATGAGGTGTCACTGGGTACCGCCGTCTTGCTCTACAATTTATGGTTTGTATTTTGTGGGGAAAATATAATTCATAACTGATATGCATAACATTTATTTTCTACTGCAATGACTGGAACTATAAATCGTTGTGCTGCACAATGTTTCACCTCAGTTTGCACTGTTTCTCCAGACAGTAAAAGTGTAACTCGATATTTATTGTGGGCTGGATGTGCAGCGGGTGGGTTCGCAGTTAAAAAGTCAACTATTGTGAATTGAACTTTCATAGCGATGTTTCGTTGCTTTGATTCATTAAGTAAATCATCTGAAGCCATTTGAGACAACAATAACGAGTTAATAATAATAATAATCGTTGCTTCCGATCTACAAGTCGCTGTATAAAATGCAAAGATTATTATTATTATTCAGCTGAAGGAAGTTAGAGCTCATCAAGGACTTGATGCCTGACAGCAATCGGGTCGAAGGTGGAGATTGAGTGTGGAGGAAGATGGGAGAGTTGGGTTTCATGGTTGTACATTTGAACATGTAATACATGTCTACAGTGATGTCGCCAAGTGGGAGCATATATAGATAGTGAAGAGCAGAGGATCGAGGATAGAGGAACATCCTGAGGAATATCCATTTTTCGGCAGCAACTGCTTGAGGGATGGAACGTGACTGTAGTCCTGGGGAACCTCAGGGGATAGGAAGCGATACCAGAGTCAATAGGAGCCAAGGGTACGGTGAATGGTGGTGAGCGGGTTGTGCAGGGTGGTGATAAAATGCATTATACTGTTTGAATGTGAAACATTTGACGTGAATCACCAAACGTTTTGTTAAACCTAACCACTAGTATCCAGGTGGAAACATCCTAAACCCACATTATTTTCAAAAAATCTTCATTTTAGCACAATGTACTTGATCACAAAATGTCTTTCCATCCCCTCATGTTCCCTCCTTTTATTAATAGCAAGTGAGTATGTTTCATCACTGTGATCAGATGTCAATGGGTACAGCCGAGCTATTTTACAAATCATGGATTTTATTTAGTGGGGGTTTCTCTGAATATCAATTGTCCATTTTGATAACCCATGTGTCACCCTCGTCTGTGTATTAAAATCAAAAACAATCATTAAAATAAAGGTGATCAGTTGTCATTAGCTACACCTATCTTAAGATACAAAATATCAAAGTGTTTTCAGTTTTGATCACCTTGTGATTTTCATTCTGAATTCTATAAAAATACAGACTGAGAATAGATATAATATTTAAACTGGTTATTGTGCTTAATACTTACATTAAAACAGTATTCATCAATTATGCACATCAATGTCTAAAGTTAACAATGCTTTCAAACATGTATATCCCTCCATAGCGCCGTAACCAGAATGTTTATCTAATATTGTATTCTATCCTGAATGCATTAATTGTGATTATCCCAGGTCACTGACAATCCAATGCAATGCGAGGGGACCTGGTTACGGTTCCCGGGCAGGGCGAGCGGTAAATTCGAACCAGATGTTAGTCGATTCATGGATTTTTTTCAAGGGTTAATAATAACTTCAAAACTTTTTTTTAAAAATAATAATAATAATTTACTCACTCAATCCACGATTGTTTGTAGGACACTGCTGTGCGCAATTGTGGTGTGAACGGGGAGGTTCTGCTTATATCTCTAATTACAGTGAAATCTCCTGTCTTCTTCAGAACAATCTCCTGCTTGAGGGACGCTATATAAATGCAGGTTGTTGTTGCTCTGAAATGGTGGCAGAATTTCAAATACAATCTCTCCAACATTTTCCAAATCCCGTAAAGCTATTACCTATCTTGCTTTTAAATATCCCACTTAAATCTACATTTCAGGCTCTTTATTTGAGTGGATTCCAAAATTCCACGTGAAGAGAAAGGTTCCACATCACTTCTGAGAGGTTTAGCCACAATGTTCAGGTTATGTCTCACTGATCACAAACTGTTCATTGCCCTAAACTGAACGAATTATTCCGAATAGAAGACGTGAACACTTTGTGAGTGATATGGGTGGGTTGTACCCGGAGATATCAAACTCACTTGGAATAAAGATGGCAGTGAAGTTAAAACGGGGATAAATTGTAATAAAGAAAGAATTCAAAGGGACTTTATGAAGTTTCGAGCTCTATAGCCACAGAGAAGAGATACCGCCGGGACAGCGCGGGGCTGGTTATTGCTGTCTGACATCTCACGGCAGCCTCCGGACTCCCGGAGTCGCAGCGACACAGTTTGTAAACCCGACACGGGATTGTATGGCAGGAAACATCTTGTCTTTCTGTCTTTTGTTGTTAAACACCTTGTTACTGGAAATTGTATTTACATTTATTTACGCTACAATTGATAATCATACAAGTTTCTCGCTGTAAACTCCATGTGTGTATATGTCTATATATAACACAATCAACTGGAGATATATAGTCTTTGAATCAAAGAATACCTCAAACCTGGGGATGTTCTTGTTTTGTTATTAAATTCTAAATATGTTTTCTACAAAATGTTATTTTTTGTCATTTACTAACTTCTAAAGTGCAATAGTGCTGCGGGTTCCACACGCAATCAGGAATCAACATGCGATTTCCACATGAAATCAGAAATTGGATTTTTAGCAGATGTCCTATGCAATAATTTTTGATTACGATGGTATCCGCTTCTCAATGGCTCGGGTTGGAACAGCGGTTATATTTGGTACATTTGAAGCTGAGCAAACAGTCTAAGGGGAACTTCTAACGCATAATATATAACTGTCTCTCTATAACTTCACTAAACACAGTGATGTTATAGTTCAGTGGTTAGAGCACTCGCCTTGCAAGCGAGACACCTGGGTTCAATTGCAGGCAGGGCGAAACCTTGCGCAACTTTCCCAACTTCACACACTTAATAATAATCCCTCTAAAACAAAACAATAATAAATTGGTCATTTTCAATCCACTTCTGTTTGTGGGACACTGCTGTGCGTAATTGGCTGCCGTGTTTCTCCCACAAATATACAGTCAATTCACTTTACAGCATATTCTGTGAAGCGTTTTGAGATGTCTAGAAGACGTGAAAAGCGCTGTATCAAATGCAAGGATTATTATTAATATTATTATATAAAAAAAACTGCCTGCTGATATTCACGACTGTTTGCTGTGGATCAATTGAATGCGCAGTTTATAATAATCGTCCACCTCATTGTAGCTTCCAATATCAATTATCTAAGAACATGTGCAGTTTCCCAATACAGTCTAATTATTCAGTAGATTTCATGTAAACATTTTACAGTGCGATATTTGTTTTCTAGGTTACCGTGGAATGTCCAACGATGTGATGGTTTTTCGGTTTGTATTATGTTTCTTCCTACTGATAGTGTTGACAATCTTCATTGTTGACTGCATTAGAGCCAAACCACTTGAATGGTAAGGCTTTCTTTGTTTCAAAATGACATTGTCTTTCGTTTACAATTATTGTGTTTATGTCGTAAGCCTTAACATTATCAATGAGAGGAAACAAGTTTATGTTGTTCGCTGACAAGCCGTCCGGCATGGAGGGCACTATATAAATCCAAGTTGTTGTTGTTGTTGGTAACCGGGACAATATTGTTCAAAATGTGGGAATTACGTTTTGCTGTGTTGGAGGATTCTCTGATAATCAGTGGTTATATAAATATCTCATCCAACTCTCCAGTTATCTGTAACAATATTGAACAGCATATTCATGTAATAACTTCCATATCTGTTACTTGGTTATCATATTAATGTTAATGTCGTCATTCATGAGATCTGCATCCCTCAGGCTGAATATTCTTGAAGATAAGTTGAAAATATATCCAGTGTTATAATAAATTGATATTGTCTTAGAGACAAATGATATCAGGCAGTCACATGTAATATTTCGGCTTCCGTCTCCAGCTCCGGTGCCCAACAAACTGAGCCAAGCAATTTAAGACATCCTTCCAACATGAAAGGTGCAATCTAACTGCAAATCATGTTATCTGAATAAGTTTAGCAACCGTGTAGAATGAAACTAAACATTTTATGTTTGCAGTCTCGTTGTAAACATTTCAGATTGAAACATCAATTTGTTTGGGTGAAAAGCAGTAATTATTACAATTAATCAAAGAATCAAAGGATTGGTGATATTCTCATTTGCACTGCTTGTTTTGTTATAGATGAAGTAAGGAAGAAACGATTAGAGGTGATTGAATTGTGCTGATGGAATTACACTGACTGGAAGAAACAGAAGATCATAAATTATGGACTGGTATT